AGAAAAAGGTGTTTTTTCTTTATCTTCAGGTTCAACTTCAATCTACCAATAGCCAGACGCACAATCCAGGCAACTGAACAGCCTAGATCCTGACTAACCAGTGTATCATCAATAAGAAGGACTGGCATGCTGTCTCTTCTCGAGTGAGAATTCAATCAGCGAAAAGCAAAGCAAAATCTTGTTTCTCCATTTTTCTTGGGTACCAACACAATTGGTGATGACCAAGGAGTAGTAGATTGTTCAATAACAGTTTTCATTTCTTGAATCATTCTTCCTCTTGTTTATGGTATGGTACTCTACCTGGAGGCTGCTTGATAGGTTTTGAATTGCCAGTATCAATCTCAAATTTGACCAAGTTAGTACATCCTAGATCATAATCATCCTCAGAGAAAACATCAGGTTATTTCAACATCTCCTTCAACTGTTTTGACTCAGTTTCTAACAGGTCTCCATGTGGAATCTGTGAAATCCATGCATTATTTTCATAATGTGTAATTTGTCTGTCTGTATGAGGTTGCGCATTTGACAAAGTTGCAATATTTCTGTCAGATGTAGACATGGTCGATGTATAGATATTCTCATACAAAGTTATGTTTTCTTAAGTTACATTCATCACTCTAAATGGAAAGATATTGTTTTCTGGATCAGCCAACACATTTGCAGTTAATATCACTTTTCTGTTGAAATTTATCTGATGGCTCCAAATATCCAGTAAAGTTAGCAAGTCAAGATGAATTCAGTTTTACTGGAAATACCATTTCATGTCCTGCTGGTACTTCATTAATCTACAATGAATGTTTTCTTACCTTCAGTTGTTAATGCAACAGAGTGCCATCCAATCCTCATTCTCTTTTGGGACATATCAATTGTCGTTTTCATGATTCACAAAAAGTCAGCACGGAGAATTAGATCACAACAACTATCAGGACACACAAATACCTTTATCCGTTTATTCTTGGGTCAATTCAGATATTTATGTAAGTGTAACCACTTATCCTGATTTCCTGTAATTTGCTGACCATGCACGATTATTGGTGTCCTCAAAATTTACTTGAAATCCTCATGAAGACATTTTTCATCAAATACCTGAATTCCTTCCACATAAACAGAAGCATACAAGACACCTTCTTCCACATTTTCAAAATCTACATTTTGTTGGGTCTCACTGTCTTTATCAATGAGAGCTAAGGAATCATCCCTTTCCCCTGGTCCCTATCCATTTAAATTCCTATTCCTGCCCTGCAGTCTTCTACAGTCCCTTTGAATATGGCCAGGCTGTCCACAGTTGTACCATTTTTGCTGTTCTTATCCTTCTGGCCCAAGGTTAATAATTTAATAGTATCAGCCATTCCTGAAAGGACATCTTGTTGTTGTGCAACCTAACTCATAAGTGTTTCTTGCTGCTGAGAAATTTTCTTAATCACTTCATCTTTCACAATCGGTGAAACTGTATCTGCAGAGATAACAGGGCATCGAAAAGTTTCTGGTGCTTCAACAGATAGCCAATGAGAGGCTTCTCTCACTGCCTGATCCAAGGTTTCCATTTTTGCATGGCTTACAAGAAAGTCCAAGTTCCTTTGGAACTAATCCTTTAATAAACTGATCCATGGCCAGCCCATCAACATCAATAGCTCTCATATCTGGGTAAGCTCTGCGAGCTAATTTTCTTATCTCTGATCAGAACATCCAAACACTTTCTCTTTTCAAGAACTTCCTACCTTGTAGCTCTACCTTGTAATTTCGCCTCCGTTCTTCGGGAGAAAATATCATTTATTGACATCAGATAACAGTGCAAAGTCATTCTTTTGCACTGTTGTAAAACTGTGGTAGATTGATTTTGCTTCATCTTTCAAACACAAGGCCAAACACTTGCCTTTCTTGACATAGTCCAAGTTATTCATCTCCGCACAGAGTTCAAACTCTCCCAACCATTCCTCCAAGTTTCTGCCTCCTGGCAACTCTTCTGGCTTAGCCACTGGGCGCACATAATTCTGTCCCCTTCCACTATGAAACAATCCCACCGCTGCCACCAATGTTAGATTGGAATATGGCCCAGATGACACAATGATGATGTTGCAAGAAGACTCAAGTCGCCGGTCAACTCAAACAATGTTTACTTGTTCAGATCAAAACAATAACTGACAACACAACAGTATTACTATGATGACATCATCACAACACTCACACAACCATTCCAAACTATGTCTACATTGCGTTCTATTTATATACTCGTCAAAACAATTTAGGGAACACTGATATTTTTTAGCATTGTTCATTCGATTCCTTTTAAATTTGGTATATTGAAGACTGCCCTTACTCAAGTGACTTCAGAACAAAGAATTTGAATCATACTGGACTCGTCAGCGTTCATTTTGACCAGCACTCATTTTCATGGAAATTTTTGTTGTAATCTCCTCCTCACAGCTGCCGTAAAAATGGAGATCGTCCATTTGCTCACTTATTCTCATGAAGCATGAGCCACAAGGAATTTTTGTGCGAAATTTGGGTTGATAAAGGCAGGTCGCTATGAAACTGCATCACTGTGTACAACATGCCACAACGCCGACACCTCACGAATGAAGAACGAGCCAGAGCTATTGGGTGGCTTAATGAGAATGTTTCGCAGCGGGAAACTGCTCGAAGGTTAAATGTTAGTCCATCCGTCATTTAAGATTACGTCAGCGATTCCAACAAACTCAGACAGTACGTGATAGACCAAGGTCAGGACGCCCTCGTGTGACAACAGGAAGAGAAGACCGGTATGTTGTTGTTGAAGCATTGAGGAGGAGAACAGTCACAGCAAACTATCTTCGAAGGCAACAGAGGGCTGCTAGATGAACAAATGTCAGTGACCAAACCATAAAATACCGTATGAGGGAAAGAAACATCAGGCCCCAACGTCAAGCCGTTAGACCGCTTCTTCTTCCGCGTCACAGGGCAGCCATAGACGCATGGGCACAGCAACACCGACAGTGGACAAGACAACAGTGGTCAGCAGTTCTTTTTTCTGACGAATCTCGGTTCTCACTACAGCATAATGACGGTCGTGTTCTTGTCTACAGACGGCATGGGGAACGTTTTGCTGACGTGAACGTCAACGTCCATGAGCACAATCATTTTGGTAGTGGTAGTGTCATGGTGTGGGCCACCTTCTCATTTCATCACCAATCTGTACGTCATCAACGGGAATTTGAATGCTGTTCACTACAGGGATGAGATTCTGAGACCAATGGTGATTCCTTGTCTTCATCGAATAGGCCCACAGGCGGTTTTCCAGGATGACAATGCTAGACCTCATCGTGCACACATAGTCACTGACTTTCTGGGACAAAACAATGTTACTCGCATGGCACCCTTTGAACAAGTTGATGTCTTTCTGCTCTCTAAAAGATGTGACAAGTACAGTTGAAGAAGATATAAAGTGTTTATTTACTGTTATAGCATCTTGCCAGCAATACAGTATGTTTTACTGAAAAAACAAACTGGCTTTGAAACTGTTAAACGTATTTCATGTTTAAAAGTACCGTATTTTCTTGAGTAAAGTGCGCACCCCCCTCTAGCGGGTTCAATATTTTGGAAAAAAAGAAATTTGAATATTATGCGCAGAAAAAAATAACACCGTACCCCTTCAGCGAAGTCCGGCAAACAAACTGGTGATGAGAAACTTTGTCAGTACAAATTTGAAATTTGAGATAAAAAATCACCAGACATGTTGATTTACCATTTAAATTGTATTTTTTGTTCAGCTAGGCATTGTTTTATATCCAGGGATTAAGATTACCTTGTGTATTTTCTCGTAAACTAAGCCGGACACAGCTGTACACACGTTTTCTCGGAATCTACCGGTGATTCGGTCAAGACACACCCAATGATATAACTTAACAGGATTTTAATGCAAGGATCGGCAAAAGTTGTATCTGAAACTATTTTTTTTATCGGGAATAATGTATTCCAATATCTTGTTAATTTAGATGCAGCTTTTACTAAACATATTTAAAATAATAATAACCCTAAGCGAAGCAGCTGATCGCTATTGCCGGGTATTATTTTTTACATAGAACCAGTCTGACCATTCACCGTCAAGGCTCCCGTGCACGTGATCGCTTGATCGCGAGAATTACGTGTTGACAGAATAATCCAACAAAAACAAATATGGCTTTTAACGAATCAAAGTATGGCAGTTATGATATATGTATCCATTCTCTGTCAACTAGAGTTTGTTTCAAGGCGTCAATAGCGGTAACCTGACTGTGGTTGCTGTTAATAACGGTGAGTTGTGCGATCTTCCGATCTGCCGAAATTAATTAAAACAATATTAAAAGGAATTTTGAATAAAATTAATGGAATAAGTTACAAACATAAGTCCAAATATACAAAGAACAGTTTTTCTAGCCAGACAGTGTAATTACATGAATAATTTGAGAACTTCAGTATGGATTTGTTGACATGGTATTTCCGGTGTTACGTGCTCACGGTAATGTCTTTCCATGGGGGAAAAAACATCAAAACTCATTAATTCGTGTATTATGCGCACCCCCTTCTACACAGCTGTTTTTTGGAGAAAAAAAGTGCGCACTATACTCAAGAAAATACGTAAGTAAAACTGTGTTATGAAAATATCGTATATATCGCGATACATGCTTTCCAAATCGATGCATCGTATCGTGGGCTGTGCATCGGGATACAATACTGTATCGCCGTATCGTTACACCACTACTAGGCATCAGACGTCGAACGTGACTAACCACAGTTCCGGGTAGTCTTGTGGGTACCAGGGTCCTTCTCAGTACCCACCCGACCCGAATACCTGAGTTACCTGTCCCAGCCCTACCTCACTTCTATTTTTTGGTTATTGTAACCCCAAACAAAATAACAATTGATGATATCAAAGGGGAGTTTTATTTGGGGTCATATTCAGTGTATGTTATGAGAAACAACGAACACATGTCTTTTACTTCTTAAACATAGATAAACGAGCAGGTAAAATTTCGGATGCGTACCTTTGAGAAGCTTGCAATGGCTCTTTTGTACTGCTTCACGTGAATAAAATGTTCCCCTTCGTCCCGGTGCGTTTCAAAGGTAACTTGGGCATCATGATTATCGGTGCCATTATCACTTTCACTATCCTTGCGACCACGCCCTCGACCTGGCATAATTAAAATCAATTTATATTTCGTTTCACAAAGATAAATAGCAGCAGAATGATCTCTTCGCCTGTCTTCGTGAGGGCACCCTTTTCGCTTTGCAGTTGCTATTAGAAACGGCTAGCTTTACTTCTTAGTGTCGCATTTTCATATTTTGCGCGCGCGTGATTTCTATTCTTGTTTACACAACAACTTAGTGGCCCAACTCAGACATATCTAACTACATTCTAATGCATTATCATTCTTAGTATAATTCCGGAAAAGTCGAAACTGTGTCTTGAAACACGCCTTCCGGGCATTCCATTCGTGACCAACTCGTGTTATTCCGGGACAATCTTCTTGCCAATCGTCACCACACGCCCTTCTCCGTAATAAGACTCCTTCCCCTATCGATGAATAATGTTATGTGGGAAAATACGACAAACCAATCACAATGAGGGTTTGATTTCAAGTTCTTCGTCAAAGTATCCCTCAGGAATAATTTTTTTATTTTACATAGGTCTTGCAACTGAAGATATACCCAAGTCACAGTTAGCGGGCACTGATCTGAACCCCGGGACTGGTTGTTGCCTTTGTTATTGTTTTTCCCCGTGAGTACCCGGATGATATAGCAGAAATCTAAACTAGTTCGCGACCTGTGCTGCGCAATTCGTAGGCGCATTTGTCACTATTATTGGAAAGTATAAGGGCGTATGGTCACATTGATCAACAATGTTTTGTAAATAATAAGGAAATGTAGGTATCTTTGTGGGTAGCATCGGTAATGGTGAGTTTTGATAAGTCACATGCTTGGTAATTGTGCGATTTTCGTTCACACTATTTTGACTTGCAACACAAAGTAAATATTTTTCCTGAGCATTGCTTATTTTATCGTGTTTTTATCAATTTTCACTTAAGAAATTTATTAAAAGCCAAAATATTCAGTTATTTTACATATTGACTGAAAAATATGTCCATCTGTTTTATTTTGATAACGAAATCCAAACATTTTTATGTATCACCAAGTGACTGAAAATATTGGAATTAAAAGTACATTTGTATAAAAATTGTTTGGCTTCTAATTCTAGCATAATTAATCTATTGTGATGTTTTTGACCGTCTTAATATTTTTTAGTCAATCTGTTAAATAAATGGACAGATTTTTCAGTCAATTTGTAAAATGACTGAAATATTTAGACATTTTATAAGTTGCTTGAGTGAATAACATTTTACACATTGACTGTAACATATACCCGCTTACAAAGGAAAAGACTTGTGAAAACAATCGCGCATCGAAGAACTTCCCAACCAAGACGTAGAGGAACAAGAACGATTCTGTTCAATGCTACAGCAAATGAGAGAAAACAAAACGCAAATATCATAATTACAACCTACTAAAGTTATATGTATAATTTTAGGCAGCTTCCGAATGTATCCGTGAATAACGGAACAATTAATATCCCACACGTCTGCAGCTGTGCAAAGAAACGTATTCGATGTCACGTGTCTCTGTTAACAATCCAATAATTAAACATATCGTTTCGGGATATTATAACCCGTGTTCGGTTCTCAACTGATCACTTGGTTTATTTCATAATGTCCATGGTTCTTTAAAAACATCCATTTAGTTAGGTAACAATGAGCAATAACCAAACAATGAGCAATCAATCAACGTTTTATCGGTTAACCCTTTGAACAAAGTATGTTGGTTTTACATCGGCACTTCACGCCATGATATGAGTGTATTCCGTTTGCTTTAGTAAAACCTATACATGTAAACACTTACTTTTGACATATCCACTGTGCAAGATAACAGTGATTAATCAATCAACGTATTTTCTGTTGATCCTTTGGTGGCTAGGAATGATCCGTCTTGCTTGACAACGGTATAAGGATCTATACCGAAATGTCGATTTTTACAATATTAAAGAGGTTGTTATCCAAAAAATTGTGTCTACCTTGTCATCCGCCAACTTCTAAGTAATGCCTATCAAACAATTTAGGAATGATCCGTTGATTTACAAACGTGCATATTCCATAACACACATTTCACCTCACTCCAAACCTGCGTTTAGATTGAATAATTACCCCAGACACAAGAAATGCCGCATGGGAACCTTTATCAGGTAATCTGAGTGGTGTTTATACCTGTAATAAATTCATTAACTGAGCATCAAGTGAATGACGACAAATACACAAGTGTAGGGTTATACCAGAAAATATTCATGACAACAAGGGACTAGTAATCGTATTATCCACGTAATCTGAAATCCGAAAATGCTTTCACTGCAGGGATACTTTTTAAAATTATTATTAAACTATATAACCATCAGGGGTATTTCCAAATAAGGACATCCGATGAGCTTCCGCCGTTCTTTTTGTCTGTTTGTTTAGGTTGAAGAAATTAATTGACGTGTCGAAATCATCATAGATCACGGGTGACCGATCAGTGTTCAAAATGCGTAAAACAAATGTTGCCTCCAAGTTTATTCTGCAGACGGTAGCCCAGTCTCTTGTCACGCTCAGTTGCGTAAGCGAGCAAATCGACTCACGGCAGCTTGTTAAGCTGGGCCCCGTCTCTAATATCACAATATGGCGCAAGTTGACGACGCGCATAGGGAGCCGGGATATTAGAGACGGGGCCCAGCTTAGTGAGCCCTTGCGGCCACCACTCGCCCCATTCGTGACCAACTCGTGTTATTCCGGGACTTGCAGGTTACGGAAAGGGGCGAGTGTTGACGAATGAAATGCACGAGTGGGGACGAATGTTTTTTTCGCGTTTAGTGTTTGACGGAAATAGCCGAACGGGATTAATTTTCAAAGTATCAGTCGAATGAATGTAAAAATGATCGATGTTTAGCCTAGCCTATTCCGCCTATTCTGTTAATGTTGTAATTATGTCGATTGGAAATAGGAATTCACGACCCTGCCCTATCATAACCGCCAATCTCAAAGATTACAAAGACGAGTTCCGATTGTGCCTGGCAACGTTGAACAAAATGGCGGACGAAAGCAAGTCCAAGAGTAGCACACAGTGTGATCAAGGTGCAGACAGAAATTTGGAAGAATTCATTCTAGATCATTACCAACAAGAAAAAGTGTGTATAAAGCACGAAATACTAGCGTTCATTTTCCCTAATGAAGTGTTTTGCATTGTTTCTCCAACCTTTCTTGGTCTTTCAGAATGCAGCATTTGCCCATTTCTGCATTTTGATAATTTCGCGTTGTTCTTTGTTAGTGAGATGGAATAATGTTTATCAATCATGGTCATCATTATTACATTTTATATATTATTATTTCATAAGGCTAGTAAAGTAAATTTTTTTGCGAGGTGCCACCATCCCCATCGTTTATTTAGTTTGTTGTTTCAGAGACCATATAATAGAGGGACGGCCCTCACGAACAGTTTATCATAAACATTCAGCGCTACGGTCTGGCATGTAACTGATACACCCCGACCCCCGCTGTTAACCTCCCTGTACCGCTGCAGATGCGCAGACATTCACGACTGACCATTCTGGTAACCACGTAAACAATATTACATAGTATCAGGGGTAAGAGTTAATTCCCTTAGCCGAGATTTCTCCGACTACGACCAGCGACAATCCAATAAAAGGACGTCTCTTAGCGGATAACAAAGATTTTTTTATGATATCTCTCATTAGCAAATGTCAGTTGGCTGCAAATTATTTGCTGAACATGTGTGTTTTCCGGGACATTTATTTCAATTTACATTCGCCACAGCCATGGACGACTTCATTCACTGGGACGATTTCGTCTTGGACCTAGATATGCCACTTGAAGAATTCCCACTCTTCAACCAGGGGTTGGTTTCGGATGACTCTTGGTCTAAATAGAATGACAGTGATGTTACCGCAAGCCGTTGGTAAATACCTCCCAAAAGGTTTCACTCAAAGAAAAAGATAGGAAATGAAAATATGATGTCTGTCCACAAGCGTAAGTTTTCGAGGGCGTGTGAAGGAAAAGCCGTTCCGTTATCATGTATTCTATTTGTTTTAAAAATCAGATAATATATCTCATTTTATACTGCAATTGTTAACTATTATAAATAAACAAATATACCAAATCTACTACGAACGCCACAGAAAACAACGATCCGGTAAATTGCACAGGAACTCAGGAAGTGTAAATAAAACTCATCTAGAAGCAAGGAAGACACTTGTAACATATCACCATATTCCCGATGTTTACAAAATATATCTCCAGATTAACTTCATATCTTATAATAAGTCCAGACTAGATTTACTTGCAAAAATGCATGATCACCGACTGGTGTAAATGCTTTACTATTAGCCAGAAAAAAATGACGCCATATTAATGTTTTTATTTCATGTAAATTCGCTACTATTTTGTAATGCTAATAGTTCCAATGAATTAAAAATACACATTAAACTACGACCGTTGTTCAATTAATTTTTGATGTGTCCGACAATGAGCTTCGAAGGAATCAAACGTTATTGGTTAATGCCAGTTTGGGGCTAGCAGTGATAATGGGGTTTGCCAGAGCGAGATAAGTTTTTTTCAAAGGGAGGCTACTGTTAAATTCCAAAGCAAAGATGACGATTGTAATTTTACAATCGTTATTTAATATTACCCGATTAGTTTGATATGCCAGCATACAAATAATTAGGCATTTCATGTATAACAATATAGCTTCAACGAGCATGGTAACAGATATATACTAGTATATCGTAAACTGTAGTAATGTTTGTAGTTTTCAAAATTGTTTCATCATAGTTTTCTATTTATATCTGATCAATGAAAAACAAACTTTAAACTCTAACCTTGAACGAGGCATGCAACTATTACTATTAAAACAAAACATCACAAACTCTGACATATGTAAATGTTTTTTTCATAGAAAAGGACAATAGACCATCTATTTATTTTACTGAATGACACCTTCGACCTTGTTGTCTCGAACTTCTCTCCCGACAACTGCCGATATAATCCTTCTTCTTTCTTGTCATTTACAAAACAAATGATAATTTTATAATACAAATATTTCATGTAACAGATTTTTATTTTTGTATGATGTTTTCATTGTTGTGTAAATACACAAAGTAAGTAGTACCTTCATCATATTTACATTATTATGATTGGGTTTAGGCCCATATCATATAGCTCATAATCAATATTTACACGGCATAAAATAAATCATTGATTAAATGAAGTAATGATTAATAAAGACAAAATCTACAGAAGATAACAAATATGTAGTATTGAAGTATGTAGTATATGCGCGATATGTGATAGAAGCCTAACTGAAACAAAGTTAAACTTACGAAGAAATGGAGAAATCAATGGTAAAAAAAATACGCGTCTTACAAAAACAATTCTAATATCATACAATATAAGTCACTTTGTTTCAAACGATATATGCGGTTGATAATCACAGACAAAATGCATGTTATGTCGTCTGCTATATGTTAATTTAACTTAAAATATGTGACGTAAAATATGGCCTTGCGCCAAAAATCATACAAAAAACCTCCCGATCGTACCTTAATAACTTTGGTACCAAGCCAAAGGGGAAATTGTGATGAATGTAAAACTTTTTAATTCAGGACCAATAATAGGAACACATTCGTCTGAAAGCATGCGAAAATTAAGAGTTGGGGTGTAATTATTTTGGGAAAATTCAGATTTAGTCCCATTTCTGGAGTCAAAATCTGAAATTTCGCATCCGCCCTAAATTTGTTAATGGCACCAAGCCAATTTTTAACATATCTCCTTTTTATAAACCTTGGTAACCAAGGACTTTCATTGTGAATTAGAGGCCATTATTGAAAATCAAAATCTGCACTTTTGCCGATTTTACATGTGCGCTATTTTGTTCTCTCGGACAAGGACAAAGCGTGATCACAGTTATCAAATACAGTGACAACGACATGCTTTAGGGCACCAACAAATCTCAGTTGTAATGTTAACAATGTTAAGAAATATATGAGTGTAAATATGTATTGTGAAATATATCTTTTGCAAGGGAAAAAAAGGCGACAATGATGACTGCAGTGAACGTGTTTCTGCTCGCTTTCGGACAGGCTGCGCAGTTACAAGCCGGCCCTCTATTATATGGTCTCTGGTTGTTTGTTGAAATATTCCAGCTAGATATATGACGGCGGTGTTTACTTAGTAGCGATACCAAGAATAATGTTGTGCATCTTGGGATAAATCTATATAGGTCCACTCTGTATCCTCGCATACCTTTTTAGAGCCCCAAAGAAGCATTTCTTCTTACGTGTCTTGTAACAAGAGCAATACACTTAAATTAAGTCTGACTTTTGAGAACATTTATTTCGGTTTACAATTGGATATGCAATGACCACATCAGGTCAATTTAATCATGATGATGCATCACAAAGTGAGAGGAGTCAAACAGTCATCAATCTTGTTACTGTCACCTGATTTTGAGCCCGTCCATTACAGTCATGTTAAAAATAGATGCACAACATGATCAGTCAAATGACATCACAGACAGGAAGTTTACAAACAGCAGCCGATACATCATCGTTGCATATGATTGTTCTGATGCAAAGTTATCTATCAACAAATCAATTTTGATTAAAATGTGCATAAGTGAAAAAGTACGTTTCGCGGTAGGTTTTCATTACTTATTGAATATCTTAAAATGTGTAGCCTAATGACTTTAATCCGTAAGAACCAGCGCCAAGTGGCAAACACTTCGATGCTCTTCAGTGAGCTTTGAAGTGTCGGACTTGATTAAATCATTAAGTGCATGGTTACATATTGTTTATTGGCTCGAAAAGATGTGAGGCTCAAAAACATGTTATGTGTACTGGACACATATTTCTGTGTCTTGTAAAACCCTGGATTAATTTCCCTGTAGAGTCACTCCTATTTCCACTGTCATCAGTCATCAAATTAGCATATTTAGCAGCGTCGGTCTTGGAGAGTAGATGGATGGGTGACCACGCTTGACTCCTGAAAGTTTCTAGGGCTTCGGTCCTGCCCCACTCTGAAGCACATGTGATGTAGCTATGCTAATATTCTTTCAACCAGTTTCTTTTATTGATTTAACCAAATCTTTATTAAAAATCATGATATCAATTTAGTTTCCCGTAACTTTGACCTTTTTCTTGGTTTCAAGATTGTTCATAATTCTTATGAAACTTCTACCTCTATTACATATCTGCCATAAATCCTGTATTTTGGCTTCATTCACACCAACTAAAATTTTCAGATTTTCAACAGACGTCCTTTTCACTGTCAATTACACACAATTAGTTGCCGCCATGTAGTCTCATAACTACCCACGCCGTGACGTCACAATGGCGGCCATATCACTTTTTTTAGGTGTGTGCTAGATTTAACACCTATTATAATAGTAGTGACAATCTAGCACTTGGTAGTAGGTCACATTAATCTAAGATTATTCTCATACCGTATTCGACGTAATAAGCGCCCAGGGCGCTCTCAAAATTAGAAATAGGGGGCTCCTATTAGAATATTATATTGGTGGAAAAACAGAGTTGAAAGATAAATTTCGTGGTTTATGCTGACAGACTAAAATGTTTATATGCGACAGATATATTTTTCCAGAATTTAATTGCCCATAATTAAGAATGCATATAACACACGAGTACGTATTATACGCGAATAAATAAGTTTTGTGTACATTGATCAATCGGAAGGGGTGCTAAATGGGATTGTTCACAAGCCAATATATTAGCAAATATCGCAGTGGGCGCTTATTAGAGCGGGGCGCTTATTACGTCGAATACGGTAATATTGATATAATAACAGACATATAGTAGTATAGGTAATGATGGTTCTGTCGCAACCCCACTGGAGCCAGATTTATATACCTATACCGCTACTACAGATGGGATTTTTTATGTGTAAACGCTGATGCGATTCAATGATCGCCGTGAGATTAAGTTAAATTGGCTCTAGCTCACCACTACCTGGAGCCAATCAATGATACCATTAGCATGATTAGTACAAAAACGATGATGAGACTAAACTAAATTCTAATGAAAATATTCTCTATTATTTTTACTAATACGTATACCATTATTTTTAACAAAGTGATATTCAACATTTTTACTAAGTT